TATATATATGTGTATATATATATGTGTATATATATATGTGTATATATATATGTATGTATATATATATGTATATATATATGTATATATATATATGTATGTATATATATATGTATATATATATATAAACATAGAACACAACAATACGATGCAGATATCAGGGCTCTGCATTAGTGCTTGCCCGGGGCATGTAAACTCTGTGTTCAGGCAAGTGGAATGCCTCATGCAGAAGTCCTAACGGGCAAGTGACACATAAATGTCTTTATTAGAGGCCGATCTCATTACCGTATCAGCGCCCTCTAGTCGGCTACTCTGACCAGACTTCATCTTCATAAAGCCGGAGCGGTGTCACCCAAGTCGGGAAGCAGGGCTGCCAGCGTGGGTTAATCCCTCAGCACTGTGTTGTTCTGAAAAGGATCACTGCCAATCGGAAAATGCTATGTCAAGGGTTTGGAACAATGCTCGGGTATTTTGGGGGATTTTAAATTGTTTTTTTGGGGGGGGGCTTTTTATTTTGTGTATTTTTGTGTTCCATGCAGGCAATCTCAGCCTCTACCTCACTCTTTGAAAGACAATTTCAGAGGTCAGCTTCAGCTTCTGACTGCATTGCAAAAGGAGGTCGCTTTTTCGACTTCTTTATTCTATTTTTCTTTTCAATTGTTTATCTTTTATTCATACAGACAATCTTCTGGAGATGGAAAATGTGTTTCTTTCTCCGACAGGCCACCTTTTCTATCAGAGTATTTTTCATTTTCTTTCTAAGCAGACAAGAGCCCAGGTGGAGTGGCTTGACTCCCAAAACCTGCATAGTGACGGCGCTCTGAAAGGGGGACGTGGTCTAATGAATTCAGGTCAGGGTGTTATCTCTGGGCCTTTGCTAAATTGTTTCTATGAAATCGGTTTCGCTCGGTAAGAGCCAGCGGAGGGAGCCCTTCCATTCCCACTACATCACAATTGTCTATTGGTTCAGTCCACTTCAGTTGTCAGCTGTACTTAAGCACTTGAAGGAAAGCCTGCAGTGTGCTGTGACGACCTAACAGATATCCTATTCTGCCTGATGGACGTTAGACAGGTTAGCCAAGCGCAACTCTCCGAGGACCTTTGTGCATCTGAGGAGAAAACCAGGAGCCAAATCTGTTATTGCTATATTCAAATAAAAGAAGATAATCCTGGCTGAAAGATGTTCAGTGACATTTCAGAATCTGAATGAACCGCTTACACTTAATGTTATATACTTATTTTTGTAGTAAGTGCGAGTGACATATACTTACATTCAAGATCTTTTCATGGGTGGTTATTCATTTATATTATGTAAAGATGCAGTGTGATTTATTACCTTTTTGCAGCAGTTGTATAGAAGTTATAGTCCAACACTTACTATCTAACTCCCATTTTCCCAAAAAGTTGAGCTATTCCTTTAATTTCCAACGCGCCTCCATCTGTGAAGGTTCCATAAGTACTGCACAGTGGGACCTTTGTCTGAATTATTTTTGAAGGCCATAAGCAACAAACATACAGCACCATGGATGCCTCACAACCGCGTCACATGCGTACATATGGGGGAAGCTCACTGCTGCTGCGTGGTGGTATCGTGCGGTGTTTGCGTGGGACGTGGATCATCAGAGACGTGGCGACAGAACTCAGACGCACTGACACATGTATGTGCACACTTACACGCTCCCACTCACCTTATTCGGCGGCATGATTAATCATGGGCATCTTTGGGAGTTTTAGAAGAGGTTCAGAAAAGAAAAAAAAAAAAAAAAAAATGTCACTGCCCTCACGCGCAGCAAATCCAACATTTCCACAATCGCCGTCGCTATCTGAGTCATCAGGTGATCCCGTCCAACGTTCGCAGGGTTTGAATAATTGTCGACGAGATGTGTGATCCCTCGTCGGACGGATAAAAGCACTCGAGTGTGGATCATCGTAGGGGGGACTAAGAGAGCACGCACATGCCTGCACACGCACAGTCGTACAGAATAATGAGTGCATGCTTTGTCCTACAGGGCATTTGTGGCCCTCCATGTAGAAATAACATCAAGGACGCACATTTGGGACTAGACGGTGTTGAGCCGGGCAAGTTCTTCAGTCACCTAGAGCAGTGGCAAGGTTACATGAAAGGCTAGCATTCCTGGCCCCACACACACACACACACACAGACCGACTCGTGAAATGTGTCCGTAATGATACAGCTGCAGGCCCCTCCACACATGACAGGAGGGCGGGCTTCACGCAGTGCGCCACCCCCAGGTTTTGATTGTAAACGATGTAGTCCAGACGTCCACGCATACAGGCCTAAACCATCAATTTCCATCATTGGCGAATTAATTATTTGATGGTCCGGCGTGTGCAACCGCTGTCCTCGCATAGCTCTGAATATTAATACAAATTTAAGTCACATTTGTATTCCGCTGCCGTTTTATTATGCAGACTGGAGGACCTGATGATTCAGGGTAATTTCACGATGCCGACATCGAAGGAGTATCAGCGGGCGGGTACATAGGGGGGTTTCGGAGGGATCTTCCTCGTCCTTGTTTTCTGGGACAGACCGATGTCTTCCTCATGCACAGACTGCAATTTATCCTCTTTTGTTGCAAGTTTTTCATTCCTTTTTTGGGGGCTGGGTGTCTCTCTGGAGACGAGGCAGCGAGCAGCATGACTTCCCCTCCGTGGAAACACTTGCTGTTAAATTGCTCATTTTCTCTGCTGAATGCCTGCTGTAGACCCATCACCGACACACGCATGCACATTTGAGCATGCAAGCACCCACGTAGTTAGAATACACACATGTATCATTGTACTTGAGAGGGAAATTTCACAAAAAGTGTTATAACTGTAACCTTTGTCATGTCCTTCTAACATTCATCTATTCTAATCCTACAGCATAAAACCCCTGACCCAATCTTTTTCCCTCTAATCCAAACATTATGTTTACCTTCTCGTTCCGGTGAAAATTAGCCAACTTGCCAGAAAGTCAAATTGATTCACCACCCGAAACTGAAGACACACATTTACACAGTCGGACAAGTAGCCTACTACCTTCACACACAGCAGAACAACTCATGTTCTGCCCCTCGTCCAAAGTGATGCTTGTTTGGCGTGCCTCTTTAAGTGTGCGGTCATTTCAACTGTAGTGACGCGGCATCACTGCCGCAGGGTTGAGGCAGTCCCATTCTATTAATGATGTTGTGTGTAATTGAAAATAAATTGAAAATCGTAGCTCCCTTTATGAAAGTTCCCACAGGTTTGCATAGTATGCGCTACAAGTGGAGGGCTCCAGAGTATATCCTTCACTTCATGTCCTTCACTTTCTTTCCGTCCTCTCATCCCTCTCATTTCTCATCTTATTTCCCACTTTTCTTTCTTTCTATCTATCAGTCTTCCTTTCTTCCTTCCTTTTTTCCTGTCATCTTTCTCCTTACTAATTTCTCTGTTCATGCACCCCCCCCCCCACCCACACACACACACACACACACTTCTTTTTCTTTCTTTCTCTCTTCCTTGCTTTTCTTCCTCTCATCTCTTTACTTTCCAGTTTCTCAGTTTTCCTCATAGAAAGTGAACAAGTAAAACATACTTTTCCATTCAAATCAACGTAGGAGGTTGGTCAGAGCAGCGGCCATTTTTGCGTGTACCGTTTCCATTGCAGCAGGTGAACCTCTGTATAAACCAACTTACAGCGAGACGCACCGAGGGGAGGTTTTGACGACTGAACGAGTAGTGGAGTAATATGAGGCACGGAGAGGGTCGGACACTACCTCTGTTTGCTAGAGAGGAATGGAGGATTGTTACATGTGAAAACAAAGTTCTCCAACTAGTGAGCGTGACACACTTTACGAACCCACTGATGTGTGTTGTTATTTAGATCCCTCGTTGATTCTAGATTTCACTGCACATGTGTGTATATACTGAACACTTGCGACTAATAATATTATGCTACTGTATAACCAAGAGTGACATTCATCTACCAGAAATCAAGAAGTTCAGTAGCAGGTTGTTGTTTGGTCTGTAAAGTGAGTTTATTTAGAGCCAGAAACCTCCCTGGTGGCGCAAACGCTCGTCATTTTCTACCGCAAGGTGATAATAATAATTGCCGGTGCTGCACCTCGTATTTGGGATCCACGAGGGACGGAGGGGTCAGACGTGGTGTGAATTACATGGCTCTCTGACGAGCACGATGCCTATTCATAGTAACATCCCAGGTTAGCGCGGTGACGTCAACAGAGACACTATCGGGCCACTAAAAAACAACGAATTTAAGCTTTTTGTCTTCCACCATTTCAATGCTCTTGACGCCTGTCTCCTTGCCACAGGGGTGAAAGCGGTGTTCTCTGGCCACTACCACCGGAACGCCGGCGGGTGCCACGACGGCCTGGACATGGTCGTGAGCTCGGCCATCGGGTGCCAGCTCGGCGAGGACACCCACGGCCTCAGGGTGGTGGTAGTGACCGCCGACGACATCGTCCACCGCTACCACAGCCTCGATCAGCTGAGTGCGGAAGGCATGAGCGAGGACCTCAGGAAGCTCCTGCAGGTCTGAGGGCCAAAGGAGGGAAAGTCAGAAACACTGACTTTGTTTTTTTGTAAATAGTTTTTCTTTGTGATTCCCCGTTCTTAGAGGCACACAAGAAGGTTGTTTGGAGACTGGAGCGTTGGTCATGTCAGCAGATAGGATTGAGATGTTAAAATCATTGCTTCATTCCTCGTAGATATATGATGAGCTGAAATTGAATGTTTTTTGATCAACAAGGCCAGTCTCATCAATGTTGAAGTTGACCAATGGTCCAATGGGAGATGTAGGAAATCACTGTGGTATATCAAAATAGACCAGACCGGTTGAGACAAAGTGTAGACGAGGAAAAGATGCATTTCAGCGTCATCTCAACATAACTACTGGTGTAAATTGAATGCTGCAGGGTAATATCTTAACAGCCTGAGTATTAAAGAGTATTAAAGGGTGGCCTTTTCCTTTTAATGATCCTAAAATACCCAGCTGTCGTAGCCATTTCTACTATGTTTGCTGTTGCTGCAGTCTAATGCCTCGTCGGCTATCCTATGCAATATGTGTGTGTTAAAGTTTTAATGTGGTACGTTGTTTAACATGTGGAGCTGACCTCTAATCAGACTGAGCTGTCTGTTTGTAGCCTTTGCGGGTAAAAGATGGTAACTGAGAGGACTTTTTTTATTTTTTAAACTGTCCAGCCAGAATAAAGCTATATATATATTTGAGAGGCAATTCTCAATCCATATAAATTATAACAAAAATGACTGAGATTTTCAAGTTTTAATCCTTCAGTCCTGCCTTCCCTGACTATTTTAAAATACAATCCGGTGTTTTGCAGCATCACAAATACAAAGTGAGGACAGTAAACAGCGGGGCTGACATCAATCAGATGAAACAGTGAGGCTGAATTACATAACTAGATTTCATGTGAATCCCCTGTGCGGGTGAAGAGAAATCAAAGCCAGCACTTGTTAGAAGCGGACCCCGCCACTAACAAGGAAAACTATTATATAAAGAGGGAAAAAAATGGGTCTATGAATAATTAAAAAAATGGGACTTTATGTACAGAAAATCTCTAACTTGAATGTCTGATCCTTTGTTGGACAGCAGGACTTTATGTTATGCCCAAACCCATATCCGTGATGTAACATTTATATCACACCTAACCAGTTTAATCTGTTTGAAATAGCAACTGTGAACTCGGTAAATAAAATGAATGAGGTGTGATCATGTTAAGCCAGAGGACTGGTGTCAGGCTGATAATGCGCAGTGATAGTGGCGTGATTAGTGGTCGGAGGAGCACAGTATTTCCTGACTGTTTAGTCATGGCTGAGACAACCTCACAGTGTTACGGCCTACTAGCCGCAGGCTTGTTTAGATGCTCACCGTTTTGAAATTGTCTTTAAAATGGACATTTGTGCAACAAAACGACTTTGTCTGTGAGCCCTAAATTACTCTACTCAATTACGCTACCCCCCCGCACACACACAGAGACTCTCACACTCACTCTGACCGACTCAGAATTTAAAAAGGTTGTCATAGCAACCCTAGAGCAACACATCTGTGTGTGTGAGTGCAGGAGAGTGCTACTCCCCGGCTGTGTGTCCGTCCGTGATCTGGAGGTTACTGTCGGTGATTTACCATCGGCAACGCCATCGCTGACCTCATTTCACACGGACGGATTCTGTCTCTCTTCCAAAAAAAGTCAGCATGCTCCGGAGGGGGGAGGGAGGGCGTCTGAGAGGAATGGATGATGAGTGTGATGTGTGAAAGACGACTCAGTCCATCTCCTTCATTTCCTGTCTGAGAAGGAACCTTATGTCCTTATCTATTTTTATATCCTCATGGTAGCCGAGCTCAACCACATTGTTCTGTATCTCCTTTCGTGTGTGAATTTGTTTTGAGCACATTTGCTCAATGAATCGGGGAACATCACACGCTTTGACTTGTTCCCTCGTTGAAGTCTAATGAATGACCATACTGGACACCATGACTGTGACATGATTGGTTGTATTTTTTTACAATAAATGTTGATTTTACCTAATGATTGCATGGTGTCACCGTGTTTATTATGTTGTGTGAGCCATTCTCAGTTCTTTCAAAGCTGGACCAGTACAATAAACTATTTAGGCACGTGTTTCTAAACAGCAGTGAGACGTAACTCCTGTTGTCTGGATACTCTCTGAACTTCACTAAGGACTCACAACATTAACTTGAAATGCTCATGTTTATCAACCTGTTGCTCGGTCATGTATTTTAGACTTAAAGGTGCAGTGTGTAGGACTTGGCGGCATCTAGTGGTGAGGTTGCAGATTGCAACCAACTGAAACTTCTCCCATGTGCCAAGCGCGTAGGAGGACTATGGTGGCCGACGTTATCAACGTGAATGGCCATATCTAGAGCCAGGGTTTGGTTTGTCCGATCTGGGCCACTGTTAGAGGACCAGCTCAATCTGTAGATAAACAGCTCATTCTAAGCTCATCAAAACAATTCTTATTTTCAGGTGATCATAAATATAGAAAACCTACTTATTGCTATTATATTCCATTTCTGCCAATAGACAATTATTAAGTGAAATCAATGGCTCATATCTTTGAGGTATCTCAGGCTTCTTTGTGTTGGCCATCCCAGCCTCTCCTCTAGTCTCTCTCGCTCTCTCACTCTTTCGCTCTCTCTCTCTCTCTTATTCGAATCGAGGATGTAAGGATAGAGTGTTACGTATGATGTACACAATGTAAAGCCTGCTTTGGCTCATTCAAGCCAGGCTCGTCACAATAGGCCCTGCTTTTCTATTTTTGCTCGACTATTTCTGGCATTTTTTTGCCTTTATGTGACAGCCCGAGCCCTGCTTTTCTGCGCCACCTTAATGAAACACCCCTCAAGATGAACTGCAGTGTTTTTGGGGGATCAAATGTACACTTACTATATTTCAAAAGGAGTGTGTGGCTTTCTGTTTGTTTTATTATTCATGGGAGAAAGTCTGTGTCCTCCTGAGAAAGCAGAAAGATGATGATTCTTACTCGCATCCATCGTTTCAACTTTCGTCCGTCAATAGAGACACAAATCTGTAAGAGAGGTACCACCAGCTCTGCGGAGCAAACAGCCAAATCAGGAGACGCAAAACCCACCGAGGCTGCTGATAAGATGTGGCATTTTAACATAAGAATATCAACACCTTCATCTTCAACTGAATCCAACTCGCACGCTGCATATTGTATTCACATTTTTCCACTCGCTCTGCGTTAAGTCAGAGATTAGCTGACTCCAGCGCAGCCGGAGGGGAGTGAGCAGGTGGGGATTGTTTGCTGGAGGACTCTACAGTCGAACAAATGGCTGTTATTGGACACTACAGAAGAGATTGAATGTGCGACTAGCTGCTCACAGGAAAGTAATTAATTCACAAAACCAAACACAACCGGGCGCATACATATTTAGAGCTATTCTGCTCTGAAATCAAAGTTTAGTCTGTCACTTTACTGCTGAAAAAATTGATGATTCATTTTTTTAAATCCGCATTTCTTTGAAAGAACATTTTGGGCATTGGAGGGCAAATGGTTGAAAAGGAAAAAAAAAAGTCCGCACAAGATAGCAGCTTTCTGGACAGACTTGAGGTCAGCGGCGTGGCCTCGGCTCTCAGCCCTGTTCCTGCAGCACATTTATTCTACTGGTACAGATAAAAGCTAGTCCCCGTTTATTGATCTAAAGCGCTGTTGCAGTATCCCCCCCCCCCCCCCAGTGCTTAAATAAAAGCAAACATACTCATAAACACACTATACGCACTCATAAAATGCACATGCATCTCTCAGTGCTTTCATCAGCTGCCAGGGTGTAGAGTCCATAATGCTCCATAAGGTTTTTTTCATCAGTACATGGAGGGGACTAAGGTCAGAGGTCAGCTGCTTTTGAACATACATGAGAGGCTTACACTGATAGCTGGAGGGAATGTTTCCACCAGAGGCACAAAAAAAAGAGCTTGTTTCATCTTCGTCTGAGTGTTTTGATTCCTAATGGAATCCAAGAAGTTATCATTACACGCTGGCTAGATCAATTTGGCCGCCAGATATATTTGGCTCCGCGCTGTTAGCCGTGTGAGCGGGTATCTGAGGAAACCTACAAGACACGCTGTAGGTGAAGCAGACAGTTTTAAAAGCAACGGTCGCTATGATGTACTCCACTATTTAGTTTTTCGAACTTTGTAGTAAGCAATGACGGCTGAGACATTTACATTACATGCTCCATGTTTGTATAAATATATATTTTATATAGGGCCTAACACAGAGCTCTTTCCCTGTGTGTAACCAGAGCAGCCATCAGCAGACATTCAATTCAAGTATTCAAGTAAACCCCTCTACATAAGCTGATAATCCTATCGCAGAATTATCAGGAATTATGCCACAACTACACAAATCTTATGATGAAAGCAATTCTATGCTCGGGTATGCATTTTGATTAAGAGCTCAGTCTTTACAGCACAAATCTCCCAGTTACTGCAAGCATCTATAGGCCGCCTAAATACAGTGCAATTTCGATGACATTGCTGAAGCTCTGTTCTATCGTCTGCACTGACTTTGACATGTTGGTGATTTCATGATGAAAAACAAACCTTGACAGTGGCACCAAAGAACTCTTACTGTGACTTTGAGATGATCATCTCTGTGCACAAAAGTTGTTTTCATTAAAAACTCGGAAATCCATGTTAGTCCTTCTAAACATTGATAATGCATGAGCCTTATTTGACAAACCCTGAATTTACATCCACTAAGTCATGCAATGATTTTGCCTTCATACCAGGTATCCGGTCTGTATTGCACCCACTTAAAACCAATTGAATAAGCATAAAGTCACTTGATCCTGTCAACTGTAAAACATCTAAAGTCCTCCTCCTGCCTTGATATTCTCTCTATCGACTTTTTTCAAAAGTCAACACTCAAACACACACTGAAATTATATCTCACAGGCCTTGCAAACTGCAGTTATTAACAAAATAATGGCAAGGTTTTCTTTTTTGTGACATTGTACACATTGTTGGTTTCACATTGCAATCATGCAAGCGTACTAAAGAACTGCTTCCTGTAATTGGTCCAAAAGTCCTAACACTAGAACACACTCCTGACCGAGACCACCTCTTTTGGTCTTTTTGGCTGTTTGTCCCGTGATCTGAGGAGGTTTCACACCTGTCATTTATGTTCGGATCAAACTGGAAAGTCAGAAAGTCCAGTCCAAACGAGGTAGGAGTGAAAGGGCTCTATGTCCACCACCTAGTCCCTAACTTTGTCGGTTTATCATTTGGTGCTGGGCAGGTATGGGTTATAGTCGGTTTTTGAGCTTTTTCACTTAAACTGCTGCCTGATGCAACTAGTTCTCTTTAACCGCACTCCAACACAGTAAAGCTGTGGGTGTCAAACCAAAAACCTGAGCTGAAAGACGTTAAAGCGAACCGCATAATTTCATGACAACTGAGCAAACTCCATCTGCTGAGGTAAATGGTGCGACATGATAAGAGTCTTAAGAAAAGGCTACTAAATGGACTTTTCGG